ATGTCTCTCTCTGTCTGTCTGGCGAGCGCATGCGCCCTACAGTGAAAATCTCTCCAAAAAAAAAAATAAATAATAATAATAATAATATTCAGGACAGCTGAGCAAATGATTGGCTTGGTGAGAGCAGTAGCAGAGGGAAAGATGGTTAATATGTAATTTTGCCAACATGTTGACTTTGTCTAAATACTTGTCCAAAGCAAAGTTCTCTTCTCCCTTCTGACTCACGCTATGACACTGCTCTCTGATAGATCATTTGAGCTAATCCCCTATATTTCTTCTTTTTAACTTGTGCACTTTAATTTTAATTATTTAATGTTTACTTTGTGTGTCCCAATGTTACATTGCAACTAACTCATTTCCCATTTTCTCCCACTCTTTTGTTTTAAATAACGATCATTTATAGAAGTAAATGACATACAATACGTGTTTGAAAACTGAGGAGTAACTTAGAGTACCAAGAAGCCTTTAAAGTAAGATTTCTCTCACCCATAGTCTCCTTTATTGATGTGTTCAATTAATTCTGGTTGAACAAGGCATACATGCTGGGAACATTTCCATTGCTGTCCTGAGCATGTGCTGCAAAGATACAAAAATTACAGAAGAGGCTTGTCCTTTATGGAGCACATTTCAAAATTAGTAACAAGAGCTGCACACTGTTAAGGCATGCAATGTGATTTTCGGATTAATCTTAGTCATACGGCTATTTGATTCTTGGCAGAAATAAATCATAAAACATGCATTAGCTTCCATTCAATATGCTCTTCTCCTCTACTCCAGGCAATTAATAAATGATATGACTACACATTTACTGAAATTTCAAAACATAAGACAATTTAAACAGCAGATTAAATGTACTTTGTATTTTGGAACTTTCTGCAGGCTAATCCTTCTAAAGTAGCCTGTTTTTATATATACTTACTGTGCTCAAAAAGTCAAGATTTGCCTGTAGTGTATCAGGCCATTTATAATATTTTTAAGAGAGATTTTTGCTATATGGTGCATCCACTCTCTGGAGAGACAGAGAGATAGAGAGAGAGAAAACAAGAAATCATCCCGCAGGGGAGATGACCACACCACAGTCCCTTCTCCTCCATTCTCCTCTCAGGATCTTGGGCATTTACACACATGTGCCTGGTGTGAGTTTTAAGCTACTAGGTCTGGGACTCAAACCGTAGTTGCCTACGTGGGAGTCTAGCATCATAACCATTATGCAATCTGCTGGTCCCCCATTTGTAACTAAAAGGAATACTTAACATAGGCTGTAGGATGATGAAGATTAATTATCAAAAGCATTCACTTTAAGCATTAAAAATTGTATTTATGGGACCAGCAGTTAGTGTAATGGCTATGTCACTGAACTCCCACGTAGTCAACCGTGGTTCGAGTCCCAGACCTGGTGGCTTAAAACTCACGCCAGGTGTATGTGCGTGCATGCCCAAGATCCTGAGAGGAGAATGGAGGAGAAGGGATTGCAGTGTGGCCATCCCCCCTGGAGAGTGATTTCTCACTTTATATCTCTCTGTCTCTCTCTGTCTTTCTGGCAAGTACTCTCACCCTAAAGCAAAAATCTCTCAAAAAAATTGTGTTTATGATTATATTTTAACATTCATCAAAATTAAATATGCATACAAAAGTTACAGGTATGGCATATCTTAAGATACGTGATGCTATCTATATGCCTTAAACAGACGCTCTGTTTCAGAAATATTCCTGTTATCTGAAAAGAACACATGTATAGATAGATTTCAGTTCTGTGCCACTTAAATTCATTACCAGGAGTTGCAGTTTTCTTTAATCACTGATCCTTCTTCATAATGTTGACCATTTCTGAAGCAACCTATCAATATGTAAACAAATGAAAACTGTGACTTGAGTAAAAGTGCACTAACATGACAAGCAATCTAAAATTGTGGTTAGTTTTTCAAATATGCAGAAATATTTGGTACCAATCTGATAGAAATTCACATCTGCTTCGTGTCAAGGTTTATACAGCAAATTCTTCTGTGCTTGTTCCATAGATTTTATCTTTAAACTGCATTATTATGTTCTAACGGAACCAGAAAAGCATAAAATCCACATTGCTATGTAATTAATTGCTAACTATTCTCAAAATATAATTAATGTGTTTAAATAGATAAGCAATATAACAGTATTTAAATCCATTTATGGCATTACTCATTTAAAAATACAAATCAAGTCTCATAAGTGAGTATAATGAATTGCATGTGAGGAGAACAAGTATCGCATAGCTTAGAAGCAAAACACAGGCCTTTTTCCTGAATTTACCTTACAAAGATAAACTTATGTTTTTCTTCAGGATATGAATTTCAAGAAAAATTTATGAAATCAATTAGGTTGTAGTCATTTGTCTTCCAGGTCCGAATGTTTCTCCACTATTACTTGACAGTGACTTTTAAGTGGTTTCCAGATGATATAAACTACTCAAAAGAGACCTATGGTGAATCATCATTTTATGAAAACCAACAATAAGATGTTATGAAAATGGTACCCTAGCTAAAAATCAATTTTTTGAAAGTATAATTCGTACAAATCTAAATTAACACTCCATCAGCAAAATGGACCCTACTGTAGTAAAACATTTTTTACATATGTAGTTGATGGATCACATCAGTGGCCCCTAATTAAACAAAATGAATTCCAACAAAATGAATTCCAAAATGAATTCCTAAAACCATAGGAGAAAATACATATTTATAAAGCATTCCAGGAAACTGGTCTAGCTGCTAGTCATGATGTGACAAAAGCCACTTATGAAATTAGCTACCTTTTGTTAGTTAGTTTAAAGTTTTACCACATGTGCTTGCAGGAGAGGAGGAAAGTGAAAAATCATCTCCCGGGTGGGAGATGGCCATGCTGCAGTCCCTTCTCTAATTTCCTCTTGGAATTTTAGGTACGGACACATACATGCCCAGATTGTTTCTCGAGCTACCAAGTCCAGGATGCAAACCAGAGCTGGCCATGAGGAATCCAGCACCCTAGTCACCACACTACATGCTGGCTGAAAATGAGCTATCTTTTTATTTTCAAAAATCTTTTTCATAGGAAATATTTTACAGCTGTTCCCCCTCGGCATATCTTGCCTTATAAATCTAAATTTCCATATAGCTGCATCTATTCTGTCCTTACTCGTTGGTTTTGACACTTCACAATCATGGAGTAGGAGAAGAAAACCATCTCTCTTCTGACCACAGGCTTCTTAATGTGGCAAACTCAGGAGAGGAGAAAGATTTAACTTTAAATCAAGTTGAGCATTTTAATTACTACACCAGATCAGACATTTTTAACAGCTGATAGACACTATGTTTGTAACTTACAGAGATCCAACAGCTTTTTTATTACCTAGGAGAGGGGTAAAAGAATACTCATCCAAGGGTTCATTTGAAGGGAACGGAAGTACTTCATTGATCATTTTTAGAGGGAGAGTCAGGGTCAAAAACAAACTGATTTATAATCAGATCTACTGAATCTTAAGTGCTATACAGACAAAAAGAACAGAAATCACAAAGATTCTAAAAGAAAAAAGACTGTTCCCATTTCTGACTTATGCTCCCAGTAATAAATTTAAAGTCTAGAGAATACCATTACCAGGCCAACCCCAAATTATTAGTGCTAAATCCAATATTAACAAAAGCACCATGTCTTGCTCATCCTTTCTTAATATCAAGTCAGAATTAACAAGTTAAAAAAAAAAAACTGTGTTCACTTTAATCTCACTTGAGAGTTGGTGTCTTGAAAGAAAATAAAGGAGAAAAATAGAGAGGCAAGATATTCAAAAGACACAAAAATAGAGGATTGTCTATTGATGATAACATGTATGATATTTTTAACTAGATTGGTGTGAAGTGTATTCATGCTTGGTAAATTCATTTTACAAGCAGTAGTGATGTACAGTGATTAAATGTATAAAATATGTTAAAATTGAAAATAAACATAGTCACATCTGACTCTTGCTAAGATCTGACACAGTGAAACCTCAGCTACTATTTCAGACAGATATGTAGTCATTCCTTTCCCATGTAATTTCCTGACTCCAATGTATCCTTCAAGTTGTTTCCCATAAAATTTAGAATAAATTCAAACTTCGGGACCAGCAGTTAGCATAATGGCTATGTCACTGGACTCCCATGTAGTCGATTGCGGTTGGAGTCCCGGACCCAGTAGCTTAAACTCGCACTGGGCACGTGTGCGTGCGTGCCCAAGATACTGAGAGGAGAATGGAGGAGAAGGGATTGTGGTGTGGCCATGCCCCAGGGGGGTGATTTCTCACTTTTTGCCTCTCTGCCTTTCTCTATCTGGTGAACACACGTGTCCTATAGGAAAAAAATTTAAAAATTTAAAAAATAAATTCAAACTTCTCCTTATACCCTATAAAAGCCTTATACAAAATATCTTTGCCCTCATTATTCCCATTGTGCTAGTTGAGATGGACATTCCTAGAGCAATGAAGGATTCACACAATAGTAACAAGAATAGAGAGGAGTGAATGAATATAACTCTGAAGGAAAGCCCATGGGACTCTCTCATGAACTGAGTTTGAGGAATGAAGAAAAAGCAGCCTCCAAAGATGGCTTATTAGGATCTTGGCTCAAGTAATCACAAAAATAAGGAACAGACATGTGGAAAGAAGTCTAGAATTCTTCTTTGGCTATTTTAGATTTAGATTAAATCTAGGTTAGATATCTTAATGGATGTCCAGTAGACAGCAGTTTATGGAAGTCCAAAGTTAAGTCAAGACTGGAGCAGGAATTTGGGAAACACCAACATACATGCATGTATATACACACACATACACAATTTATACACACACAAACACATATAGACACATGCCTCTGACTAAATAATAGTCTATGGACTATCTGAGAGTACATAGTAAGAGAAAGTGGTGCAGGACTGAGCTCAAAAATGTTCCAGCTGATAGACATTCAGAAAAAGAGGTTGGGAAGGAGCAGTCTTTGAAGAAGCAGGAAATTCAGAAGAGGCCGGTGCCATGGAAAACAGAAGAAGAAAGTATTTCATACAAATGAAACGGTCAGCTCTGCACAGTAGAAGTCAAGAGCAACCAAACCAACATCTGAATGCTGTCCTTGGTAGTGGAAAATTGCCAATAACCCTGCCAAAAGAGAAACCAGTAAGAGGCAGGAAGTAACATCCTGTAGGAATAGTTTGGTGAGAAACTTGAAAGATAGCAAAATTTTTCTTCTAGATATTTTGTTATTAAAGGGAAGAAGGAAATGAGATGGTAGTTGGTTACCATGGAACCAAATCAAAATAGGGCTTTTTTTTTTTTTTTATAAAGTTGGAAGATATAAAAAAAAAAATACTTTATAAGCCCAGGAAGGAAAGAAAAAAAATCATGCTATAAGACAGTGAAAGAAAATTGTAAGAGTGAAGATCTTCAGAATACAAAAGAAGATGGAATTTGAGTCTCAAGAAAGGGAATCCATTCAATACAATTGGTAATATAGATGGAGGTAGATTGGAAACTATGAAAGTGAAGAGATGAGAGAATTCCTGTCTGGCAGTTTTATATTCTCAATAAAATGCAAATGAAGCACCCTAGAGTAAGTCAAACTGGTTACAGACAAAGCATCTTGACCCAAAAACCAACCAACCATTCAGAAAAAAAAAGGTGAATAGGGCCAACTGATGGTATGTGGCAGTTAAGGTGACAGATCCTACATGGCCAATTGGACAGTTTGAGTCCTGGACTCTGATGCTTGTAAAATACACTAGGCACCTGTGTGCACATGCCCAATATCCAGAGAGGAGAATGGAGGAGAAGGAATTGCAATGTGTTCCCCCCGACCCCCAATGGGAGTGCTTTCTTACTTTCCCTCTCCCTCTCTCCCTGCCTCATTCCTGGTGGGCACAAATACCCTATACCAAATTTAACAAACAAACAAAAAGGGCTAGTTACAGTTAAAATTAAGGTAGTTTAGCAACTTTAACAGCTTTTGAAACAAACTTAAGCAGATCAGATATTTGGAGAATAAAATAGTTGGTCTTACTGACTTGAGGAAAGATGATATCTGTAATTTGTTTTAAAACACTTCATCACAGTGTGTTGCAAATATCTTTGCAGCTCTAAGCTTCACTGTAGGAAAAGCAGTTCCTTGCTTTAATCATGAATCTACACCCCAGGAGTGGTAAGGAACTTTGATTCTGAAAGGCCAGACTCCTGAGCAGCTAGCTGTTACAAGTGTTCCCTTATCCATGTTTTGAACAACAGAAGGGTATTAGAATAATGAATGTCAGAAATGGGCTTTCTCTGGTAAAATTAGTGGCTTGTTAATCAGCATAATGGGTATAAGTAGTCAGTACTTATTGGTTAAATTAATAGAATTCAATTTATGTGGACTAGCTATAGGCTATTTCAAGTCACCCTTGGACTCCACAGTTTAGATGCATCTCTTAAACTAAAAAACAAACAAACAAACAACAATAAAGCTTATTGATAGAACAGGTGCCCTAGAACTGATCTTTGTCCTATGGTCAGCCATTGGGCAGAAAGATTTGTCATCCTCTGATACCGATGTAAGGATAACAGAGCCCCACTTCTGCAATATTATCACATGTGCCTCCAATAAATTTTTCATGTAACAAACATGTATGAACATTCAGAAGGACAGGGACTTAAGACTGTGAAGCTTACAGAGGTTACATGAATTGGTTTGTGTTTCCTTACCAATATATATTTTCGTTAACTATCAGTGTGTGTGGCAGTTCAGACTGTAATTTATCTTCATTATAATATGATTAAGGAGGTTGTAAATGAGCAAATAACCCTCAGTCAATTAAAACATGTCAGTGGTTTAC